GGAAATGTGTCATTTTAGCTTGGGAAAACACAACTTGTCAACTAAATCAGAAAAACATCTTTTCCAGAGCATGGTTTTCTATGTAGTTTACTTTCTGTCTTCCTCAGGAGAAGTGCAGAAAGCTCCATTCCCTACACCAAATGTGTGGTTATGGTTGGTGTAGGGTTCATTCCCTGGCTCTGTGCTGGTTATTGCAGTCCTCAGTGGGGAGTGGTTCACCTCCCTTCTGTCAGGTGCCTTTGGTCCTGCCCAGGCCATGGCTGGAGCTCAGGGTCTGAAACAGCTCAACAAGGACAAGCCCAAAGTTCAGCTCAGTTCAAGCTGTAGGACTTGGAGGTGCTCAGGGCCCTGCAGGAAGGCTCTTTACCTCAATCTGGACCTTCTTCCTTGTCAAATCCACCCAGCACCAGGAATATGGAGGTCTCTCTGCTCCACTTCTTTTGAAATCACTCCTTTTGCACCCTGATCCACCTTTATCCACATAATGCAACTTCATCAAAATACCCTTGGCACTTAATATTTGTGCCTCCTGCATGTCTGTGTCCTGTTCCTCCCTCACCCTCCATGCCCAGCATTCCCAGTAGCAGCCTGGGGGCTGATTTTCAGTGGCTTTCCAGTTGAAAGCTGCTTCTTGTCCTGCTGAAGAGCAGCTGCACAGTAGAAAAGAAACGCTGAACAGACTGGCTCAGGAGCTGTAGACTTGCAGGAAACATGTGAGCAGCCCAAGCCTAAAGCCAGCAGCTTGTGAGGCTTTCTCACCATGGTTTATGCTCCTGCAGGCCTTTAAGGATCACTTGGTCAGTGATTTTCCTAAATAGGATGCTGACTTCACCACCTCCCTCCCAAAAGGTTCAGTCAGGGCAGCGCTCTCTGGTCCTTGCCTGGGGTCTCTGCCATACCAGTTCTTGACATTTAAGATACAAAGATTAAGCTGTCAATCTGGCTGAATTTAATTCTCACAGTTAACATGTCTGTCCGTGCCCTTTGCTGAGGGCTGAGTGTGATATTCCTCCCCTCACGGGTCTCTGCATCGTTACAAATCAGGCAGAAAAATATCCTCAGCCTGGGGGAAGAGTTGAGATCCATCTCCCTGGGAGTTCAGGGTTCTTCCCCTCCTCAGATGAAGGGCAGTGCAGGGCAGACCATGCTGTGCACGTGGTACCAGCTTTATTTTCCAGAGGTGGGTGCTAATTTCTGTCAGGCCCCTTGCCCTCACTGTTTGTTGTTCACTCTGCACCAGCTTCGCTCTTGCAGGTGTTGAGCAAAAGGCTCCATGAGCTTCTCCTGCTTCTCTGCCTTCACTTCCACAGCCAAGCCCTCGTTTTCTCCCTCCTGTGCCTCCCCTTTGCCCCTCAGCTGTGCAGGCACAGTGATGTTCTCAGCCACAGCAAGGCTCTGCTGCTGAGGGCTGTGCCTGTCCCACAGCTCCTGCCTGAACCCAACAAATGCCTTCTCTTTGGAGACCATTTCTGCTTCTTAACAGGTTTGGGGCACATCATATCCCAGCCAGCTGTGCTTTTGCAATATTTGGGAAATATTTGCAATATTTCAGGCTTGCAGGGGATTTTTGTGGCCATGCAGTGCTGTGTCAGTACATGCAGTCCATTTCCTTGGGCTGCAGGCCCTTCAGCACCAACATTTTCGAGCCCAGGATGGTAATCTCAGCAGTAGCAGGGAAATTCCCTTCACATCTGTGTTTTTTTCAGTGTTTTCATGGTTGGGCAGTCTCAGTTTACACCTGCCAGGGTGGACTTTGTTTAGCATGGAGAAGCACAGTTGGCATGGCCCAGCTCATATTCCGCATCCTTCCATCCCGGGCAAGAGCTGCTCAGCTCTGCATTAATTCCCCATTTGTGTAATGCTCCCAGACTGTGCTCTGTCAAAATATACAAAGATTAAAGCCCCAGTTTGTTGAATGGATTTGTAAACTTTATGAAGTATGTGCTTTCAGCAGCTGGGTATCTCTTTTTAAACAAGTGTGTTCTTGATACGGGAGTGTTTTTATTTCCCCTCCTGCATGAAGGCTTTTTGTGACTCTGCCAAGCTCCACCATGGAGAGCCATAATCTGTATGAAACTGGTGGTGAAAGGAGGTGGGGAAGGATGGGGAAATCTGTCCAGAGCCACCATGAATTCACAGTGTCTAGCTGAACATTGACACCACTTTCTCTTCATCCCTCTTGATTGATTGATTTTGAGCTACATAGGCTTTGATATCAAGCACACGTTTAATTTGAACAGGAGCTGCAGATGTCCAGAAACCAAAAGCCATCCTTTCAATAGATGTATTGTTTCAGTCATAATAGATTCTGGGTTTTTTCTGAGGGATTGAGAGGGTATTCCAGCTTCAATCCATGCCTGTTGATAGAGTCATTACAGCTTGGTTAGATGGCTGGAGTATGACATCTCATCACTGCATAAACTCTATTAAAATATTGATATGTTTAAAAATGTTCACTAGCATCAGTAGTTTGGTTTTAGTGATTTGTCATGGATGATCAAAACTAACAGAGTCTTATCCAGATCCCACTAGATCCAGTGGTAAAAAAATTACTTCTGGGTTAAGTGCTTTGAGCTGATCCCAGGAGTATCAGAGGAAAGAGATGTTTGCCATGCTTCATAAGCTAAGGAAAACTAAAACTGTAATTTACGCCTATGGACTATTTAGAAATCTTTACAGTGCATCATGGACACGTTGCTCTGTTCTGTTTTTAATCGATTTGATAAGCCTGGTTCAGCTACACTACTTTAAAAAAAAAAAAAGCCCTGCTTAAGAAAAACAGTGTTTTGGCAGATCAACGAGATGTTTCCTTCTGCAGGGTAGGCACAGAGCGAGCAGGAATGTACCTTTTCATGCCATGTGTATTTTTAGTCCTGGGTCTGGCTTCTCACACATGCAGGAACCACAGTGTAGCACTGAAGTGTTGCCTTTTCAAATAGATGATGCAGATTATCCAAGCTGATAACACTTGGTGGTTCCTGGGTCTGAGCCTTTGGTATGTGCAGTTTTACATTTAATAAAGCAGTGCTGGGAAAAGCTGCTAACTCCAGGTTGGTGGATGTTTTAAAAGCAACCACAGATGGAAAACAAACTTAGAGAGAGGTGATTGAAGGGTCCTTGCTCAGAGGTTAGGAAATATGAGATTAAATCCAGTCTGAAAAGGTTTAATTTGACCATCCTGTGTACGTGCCCAGTGTGCTATTCCATGGTGACACTGCCAGTTTTCTGCCAAACCTCCTGGCCATCCACTGCCCTGGTGTGAATGTTGTGCCTTCACAAGCTGGTCAATATTCTCTGTTCTCTCATTGGCCACTTCTCCCAGGCTAAAGTCTCCTGCATTGCTTTGGAGTAGCACCATCATTTGTAAAACAAAGGTGAAAAATGCCTCAACCCCAAACCAACCAACCAAAACCCCACAACAACCCAAACCCCACAACAGGGAGAAGATGCACATGCCTGTGTTGCTCTATTCTGTTAGTATTTGTTGCTTCAGTTACTGCAAAAAAACCCTGCAGTTGCCAGGGATGTGTGTGTGTATATATATATCTATATCTGTATTTTATTTTACTTTTTATTCAAACCACTCTTTTGATTTTCTTAATTACTTGCTACACAGCTCATAGTGTTTCCCCTTCATTTATGCAGATTGAAATCTCTTTTTCGCCCATCTGGAACTCTTGTATCAGCTGTAATCCATTTGTGTTTGCAGTCCCCCAGGCTTTTTTCAGGGACTGGTGTCCATGGATCAGAGGGAACCTGTGGCAGTGGTGCTGTGCTCCAGCAAGTCCCCATCATTAAATCAGCTGCAGTGGGAATAAAAGGGAATTGTGATCGGAGTGTCGTGATCTGAGCATTACCTGAAGGGCACTGGAGTTTTGTTTTGTTTTTTGATTCTGTGCTGGGAAAGGATCATGGGGCAAGGGGGGAAGTGGTGATGAGAGATGTACCCAAGAGTGTTCTCCAAACTTGGAGAGCTCCACACTTTTCCCACCCAGCAGCAATTCCCTGCTCCATCCCACAGCAGGGTTGCCATGCTCCAGCCTCACCAGCTTTTCTTGGGAGCTCTCTGGGAAAGCTCCTCTTTGGCTTGTTCCTGTTGGTGAGGGTTCTGCAGGGGGTGTTTGAGCTTGGGTTATCCAGGACCTACATGTGGAATTAAAAAGCACCAGGTGTTTGCCCAGATCCAGCTCTGAGGCTGAGGGTTTGCTGGAGCTGCTGAGGAGAGGAGCAGGTTTGGAACACAAACTGGAGCATCCCATCCTGCAAGCTGAAGCACTGTGTCAGGATGCCCACCTATATTTTCTTTTAAGGAAAAAAGAAAAAAAAAAAAAAGAAACAAACAAACCAGAACAATGCAAAGGGAAAGCACCAGCACCAGAAAGAGAACAGTATGTTCTTTGTAATGCTTTTTCTTTGGGGACATCTATTGCTGGCAGTAAGATTAAATCACTGAAACCTTCCCTGAAGCTACATCTGCCACTGCCTACATTTTCCAACCTCAGTAATAAACTAACATTTGCCATTGTTCCTTTCTTCTGGATTTCATTTCTTACAGATTTAACCAGTGCTATTTACCACAAGGCATTCAGCTCTTGCTTAAAGCTGAGGTCTATGCCAAGTCCCTAAAAATATTCATAGCTCCAAAGAATCTGGTTTTAAATAATATCATTAAAAGTAGACTATATTAATACTACAGTTCACACTGAGTTCATGTGCTGCTGATGCCAATGCATGAAAATGATGGAAGAAGCTCTAGACAAGACTGCCCTGAAGTGGGGAACAAAATCCTTTGTACCTTTATACCAGTTTTTGATTACAGGAGTCACTTTCTTTTCCCAAAATACTGAAAATTTGAAAAATCTGTGTTACAGTCTTGCTTCTCCTGACTTGGAGTGCTGTGTTTTTGACTGTGGAGCTGGTGGGGAGTGTGGGGTGGGTCATGGTGGCCAGTTTGGGGCTGTTTGGGAAGCAGGGTTCATGCCTCTGCCTTCTTCCCACAGGATGCCATAGTGATCCATGAAGTTTATGAAGAAGGGGCAGCAGCCCGAGATGGCAGACTGTGGGCTGGTGATCAGATTCTAGAGGTAAATTATGTTCTCTGTGTCTGTGTTGGATTGTGGGGACTTGCTTTCAGTTCAACAGAGGTCCCTTGTAGGTTGAATAGGTTCCATTCTCAAGGCTTCCCTTCTGTCACTAAGAACGTCCTGGAAAATTCATATTTCCTTATATATTCATATAAACTGAAGGTACAAATTGAGAATACATTAAATTTAATTGAGCAAGGCAGTTCTTGAATTACATAGTTCAGCTGTCATGTCCAATAGCTCGGTATTATTCATCTCTTTAATCTTTCATTCGGAGGCCTGCTCTTCCAGCACCACTCCCACATCTCTGCTCTGCCTGAAATCCAAATATTGAGCTGGGATAGTGTGGGGTGAGCAGGAGAAGGTGGCTGTAGCATCCCTGCCAGCATCCCTGCCAATATCCCTGTGAGCATCACCCCACAGCATCCCTGTCAGCACTACCCCACAGACTCTGAGAAACATTAGAGTCTCTTTTCTTTGCTTGGTGCTCGAAAAAGGAGTCAGAGCTTTTCATTTTTTGGTCTGAAGGTTGTTTATTGTATTTTATTTATAAAATTCTTTCTTTTGTCTTGCTGAGGTCCACTCAGCAAGACAGTTACAGGCACTCTGCTTGCTTTTGAGGTGCTGTTATCTTTTTATATTAAAAACTACATGTACAATATTTACAATTACTATTTAATACTTATCACCTATGTTAGACAGTGAGCTTTTACTCTAAACCAATCCAGAAGTGCCACCATCACAGCAGAAGATGGAGGCTAAGAAGAAGGAGAAAGGCTGGACACGCTTAGATTCTTCTATCTTGCTTTTTGAATCTTCCTTCTAAAAACTTTAAAAATCTATTTTCTCACTCTGTGATAAATTCACTATCATTCTACTTAAACTTTCGTGGTTTGTAATTTTTTATATAAGGTTGGTAATTGTTTTTTCTAAGGGCTAAATCAAAGGCACAGGGGTCTTGGGTTGTTTGCCAAGGTCTCTGAGCCCCCTGGGCAGGCGCTTGAGTTTTCTGTGAGCATCCCTCCCAGCATCCCTGTGAGCATCCCTGCATCCCTCCCAGCATCCCTGTGAGCATCCCTGCATCCCTCCCAGCTCCCCCAGGCCACAGCTTCACTCAGCTGGGGAATGGCTGCTGGGAATAAATGTGGTGTTTTTCCCCCAGACAAGCAGGGGAAAGGTGGAGGGAAAGGGTTAAGAGAGAAGTGTTGGTCTGCAAATGAAACTTGCGTCAGGCAGGGGTTCAGAGCAGCTGCTTTGCAGCTCTGCTGTCAGCTCAGGACAAATTCCCAGCATGGCCATTAAGGCCTTGGTGTGTAGGGTTAGGAAAATAGCAAGGGGTACTTGGGGAGTTGTCTTTACAGCTCTTGCACTGCAAATATTTTTGTTAGCATTGAGGCCGAATGTTGTTTTGGTTTTATAAATAACGGGGTATTAACAGAGCACGGTAATTAGGGGGTAAGAATGGAGCAGGTTAATTAATTCTTCTCTGGCCAAACAGGAAAGTGCTAATGTTTGTGAGCCATAATATTGTTATTATTTCAGCTTTTAAAAGCTGTATTAATCAAAAAAATGGCTGAATTAGTTTCAGATTAGTGTGATAAAGCACACGTTGATGCCTGTGTCAAGGAAAGAATATCAATGCACTTATAAATAAATGTGTGCAGAGTTGGTACAAAAGAATATAGGGAATAAAGATTAGCCCTAATTATTTTAATGTAAAATTAGATATTATTGTAGTTTTGCATATCTAGAAATTCTGAGAAATATTTTCATAGCCTTAAAACTCATGGAAGTAGATTAACATTTGTGGTTATTCTGTTGCAGTTCATGCTGCTTCCTAAAGAGACTTCAAAAATGTCTAAGTATTGATATGTTTTGGTATAAAGAAATAAAAGATGATATAGGTGACAGAATATTGGCAAACACCTTAAAGGGCACTTGTGGATCAGGCTTGGCAAAATCAGATTAAGTTTCACGTTGCAATAGGGTTTTTTTAATGGAACATTTAAGCAGAACTTCTTGTTCTGTCTGACGTTACTAAAATGCTGAAACCTCCTCGGGTTTTGGTAAGAGAAGTGTTAGCTGGCTGCTCCAGCAGCGGTCTGGTGTGCCATCTATTGGGGAAAAAAGGAAAATCACCACTGAATGCATCCTGCCTGGGATTCTCTGAGGCATTTATTTGCTGGTGCGTCTGATTCTCTGTTTCCATCTTGATGATGTTACAGAGCTGGGGGAGAAGGGATCTGAGTACTGACATACACAGGGAGCTCAAAGGAGCACATCCCACTTTGTGTAGCTGGAGAAGGAAGCACTGCTTGAGGTTCCAAAGGCTTGGGGTTAAAAAGAAGGGAGGAACACCCAAAACTTCCAAGCCCAAATGTTCTGATTGTTGGGATTTACTGCAGGCAGAGGCACAAAGCTCCGAGCTCCCGCTCCACAAGAAACCCAGGATCTCCCTCTGGGAATGGGAACTCTCAATTAGAGCACCAAGGGGTGTCAAATTGACAAATGTGGGCTGTCACCCAGGGGCAGGGTGTGATGAAAAGATCATTTATCCGTGTCATTGGGAAAGCAAACACTGCTGGTTGCAGGTGAACGGGATCGATCTGCGCAGCGCCAGCCACGAGGAAGCCATCACTGCCCTCCGGCAGACACCCCAGAAGGTGCAGCTGGTGGTTTACAGGAATGAGGCACACTACAAGGATGAGGAAAACTTGGAGATCTTCTCTGTGGACATCCAAAAGAAAACGGGCAGAGGGCTGGGGCTCAGCATAGCTGGGAAACGGTAAGAGTGTCACAGTGGGAAATGTTGGGGATTTCGATGCGTGAACAACTGTAACCAATAAATGGAATGTGGAATAAAGGGGGAAAACTCCATAAGGAACAGAATTTTATACATAAATATCTGCCAGGATGGAATGGGGCCGTGGTTCTGGCTCCTGTGTCAGAGCAGAGCTGAGAAGTGGAGGCTGTGGCTGCCCCATGGGTGCAGAGAGGGAATCCCGTGCAGCACTGGGGGCTCACCCTCCTGTGCCATCAGGGTAGCTGTGTCTCAGGGCTTTGCAGGCCCTAACCATGGCTTTTCTGGTTTCTGAACTGGGGGATAAACCTACCCTAGCTCTTTGCAGAAGAAATTGTGAGTTAGATTGAGCTCATGCTCATTTCAAAGGGACTGAGGCCAGCGGAGGATGGGAGGCTGAGTTAGACCCAAACCCTGAGCAGCTCAGGGGACTGTGCCACACTGCAGAGAGCAATCTGCAGAGCAGAACCTGAGATACAGAACCACTGAGACTGGAAAAGCCCTCCAAGGTCCTCCAGCCCAACCTTTGACCAGTGTCACCCACCCAGAGCTCTGAGTGCCACCTCCAGTCCTTCCCTGGACACCTGCAGGGATGGGCACTCCAAACCTCCCTGGGCAGCCCCTGCCAATGTCTGACCACCCTTTGCATGAAGAAATTCTTCCTGGTATCCAGCCCAAGCCTCCCCTGAGGCCATTTCCTCTTGTCCTGTCCTGGTTCCACCCTTGTGTCAGGGAATTGTGGAGAGGAATACAGTGGGAAGTAACAGCAGCCTAATAAAATGTGACTTTTTCCTGATACATCTCTAAACCACTGCTATTAGATCACTCAAACCAGAGCACTGATAGTTTTAATCTTCCTTTGCTAAAAGAGATTTATGGCATGACACATGTTCAGTGTTGGAGTTGCCATCCTGCATTGCCAAAAATAATTTACTTCTGCAATTACAAAGCACCGTGTCATTGTCCTGACTGCCCGTGGTCAGCAGAGTTTCTGCAGCACTTTTTGGGTGGCAGTGTTTAACCCAGGTGTTGTGAGCAGATTGTGGGGTGGGTGATTAATTTAGATTATGTAAATTACCCTGCAGATGGTAATCACAGTCTCCAGCCCTCCTCCCTTTGCTTCTGTGCTGAACTTCCTGTGCTACCCCTGAATCCTTCAGGGTGGGGATCCCCTCCTTAGAAAGAGCCCAATTGCTGAAGTTTGTTAAATGATACCCCAGGTATAATTCAGGGTGGGAAGTGTTGTGTGCTTCAAGTGAAGGATAAAAAAATGCCAGATCTTGGCGCTGCATCTGGCACCAGCTCACACCAGGGAATCACAGAATCATTTAGGGTGGAAAAGCCCACCAAGGTCACTGAGTCCAACCTCTAACCTAACCCTGCCAGGTCCACCACTAACCCATGTCCCATCAGGAGATAGTTTAACTCCATTACAGAACCAAACCTCAGGCTTCTGTTCATATAAATAGTGTTTTCCATAAATCTTTCTGTATCCTGCAGTCAGAACTAGCAGTTCAAGGGGAAAGACAGCATTAAATATTAGCAAAACATGCTGTGGTTTTAAAACTCATCGATTTTTTACACAGCTGAATGGGGTGTAAAACTGGTTCTTCCTCTGCTCACAGGTTTCTTTTAATATCTCTTAAATGCAAGTAATCTAAATTGGTCTCCCAAAGAATATTGGATTGTGTAATTAGCCATATGCTTCTTGCATTGTTAGAAATGGAAGTGGAGTGTTTATCTCTGACATTGTTAAAGGAGGAGCTGCAGACCTAGATGGAAGATTAATTCAAGGAGATCAGATTTTGTCTGTAAATGGGGAGGATATGAGAAATGCCTCACAAGAGACTGTTGCCACTATACTTAAGGTGAGTACAGAATACATTCTGAGATATTGAATTGCAGTTACTGACACTGTGCAAGGTAATTATCCTGAAGTGCTATTTACCATATACAGGACAGCTCCAGCTGATTACTGAGACAAGAATTTCATTGGAAATAACTGGGAGGTTCATTTAAAGTCACTTCTCTGTGTATTTCTAGGAATTGGATGATATGAAGCAGGAACACAAAGGCACATTTAGTATTTAGGCATTTATTTGAAAATGCAACTGTGTTAGAAAAACACCTGGAAAAGGGAGAGGCGACCCAAACCAAAACTGAAATAAATCTTTGGCTTTGCTGTGCTGACCTGCAGGCATAAAATGACAGCTTAAATCTGTTCCTGCACAGCTTCCCATCCTCCAGGAGGGATCTTACCCTGAAATTCTGGGAGCAGTTGCCTTTTTCCATGGGCTGGAGGAGAGGGCAGGGCTGGGATGGCCACGAGTGCCATCCGTGCATGCTGAGGACCCATTTCTGTTCCAAGCCACATCTGCCCCCAGGGCTTTCCCCCTGCCATCCCCACCACTGTTTCTGCACATGATTCCTTTCATTCTTCAGGGGAAAGGCTAATTATTTCCTTGCTTTTTCCATTCAGGGCTGGTGCCTTGCCAAAAGTTTACCTATTTAAGAATTGGGAACCGGTGGTGCGAGGGTATTTTGTTAAGTTGGATCCATATGGGTTAAATTCACCCTTTTCTGCAGCATTTTGCCTCTGAAGGGTTTTTCAAACGTCTCCTGAAGAGTTTGGGGGTTTTTGTTTCTTTTTCCTGAGTAAATTGGCCATCAGTTTGCAAGGGGGAGATTCATAATAAATTCAGCAACCAGGAGGAACCTTCAGGACAAGCCTAAATCCACTTTTTTGTATTGTCTAAATACAAGTGTTCATGTTTTGAACATTCCTTGTGGCTTTCTTCACGGACTTGTGGTGCTGAATATAAACATAATTCTCTCCAGGAGAGCGTGAAATATTATATGTCTACTCAAATTGTACATTGTGGGTTGTTTTTTGTTTGTTTGTTTGTTTTTTTTCCAAGTGTGCCCAAGGCCTGGTGCATCTTGAGCTTGGGAGATTGCGGGCTGGGTCATGGCTGTCATCACGGAAAACATCCCAAAACAGTCAGGTTAGTGACAAATTCCTCTGTTTAAAGTGGAGCTGTGAGGGGCAGAGCACTCTGGATGGTGCACAGATGTGCACATGGAGCTCATCCTCCCACAGACACTGCTGAGGGTGGAGAACAAAACATTTTATCTCCCTAATTTTCAGTGCTGAACTGCAGCTGAAATGCTGATGGAGCAGAAGAGCTGGTTAATGTATTTATTGTTGAAGGAGTGTCTTCCCAAGACACACCAAAAAATCTGTAATATCTTTCTCAAGTGATGATGCCCAGAAATTTTTGGTTTGAAGACTTGCAAAAACTGCCTGAATGTATTTTCTGCAGCTGTTTTGTCTATCAAAACGAGCTAATGAAACCAAACTGTATCTCTGCCTGTCTTCCAGCAGAACCACAGGAGAGCTGCTTTCCTCTCCAAGAAAACACAGAGCAATTTCCTGCTTCACTTGCTTTTTACCTGAAGCGAGGACAACAATTCATTTTTCAATCAGAGCAGGGCCTTTCCCCTCTCCCTGTGCCCCCCAGTCTGCTCAGACACCAATTCTTGGTGTTAAACCTGGGGCATTGCAGGGGGGAGAAACAAGGCACAGTGACTTGGAAAACTTCTTCTTAAGGGGTTCTCCTTCTGAAAATCAACTGCTTTGGTGCCAGTGTCTGAAAGAGGGGATCACAGCAGGGTGAGGCTGTGGGGGGCTTTGGCCCCTTTCTGCCATGGGGAAGCTGCACATGGGGGGATCCAGCACTGCTAAAAGAAGGGTTTGTGTTTGGAAGCAGGGAGGAGGAGCCATAGGAGGCTTAGGGGAGATGTGAGTTAAAGCAGGAATGTTTTTAAGGAGGTCTGTAAGGGCTCTGTCCATGAGCAGCCCCAAAAAGGTGCCAAAATTATCACAGCATGGTGGGATTTCTTCACTTCCTGAGGGCCAGCAGTGGCCCTGGCTGGCTGGAGGTGCTGAGGAGCCAGGAGGGGCTGAAGCCATGTGGGAACAGCTGGGCTAAGCCCAGCTTTAAAAATACTGACTCTGGAGAAACATCTGCAGTGCATGCAGCAGGCAGGGAGAGGTGAAGTAACAGAGGGAAATTGCACTGATTGCATTAAGTCAGCAGTCAGATTTTGTTTTGGCCATTGTATCAACACGAAGCCTTAGCAAGAGCAAGGTCATCAAAAAGTGGCAGCTAAAAATTACCCACCTGGTTTTACCATGTAAAGCTCAAGCTGAAAGGGAAGCAAAATGCCATAATATCTAATGTGAGTTTAGGTAAAAATTCAGATCCAATGACATCATCTCCCTTTTTTTGTAGCATAAGAGGCTTTTGCAGGAACCTGGTAAATCCTGCCTTTCTTTTAGCACAAGAAATCCTAATCTCCTTGATGCAGAGTTGTTTGAGAAGCCTTCATCTCCCTGCTCTGAAGTGACTTGGTGATTTTGAAAACTGAATAAATGTTTCTCACCAAAACCCTTCCAAGAGTTATAAAAATCTTGGCAGATGATGCAGCAAACCAGCTTGAGTGATTTGCCCAACTGCAAGCTCTGCTTTAGAAGGTGCTGGCCAAGAGCATCCAGACCTTTTGTCCTCACTTGGCTTTTTTCTGGGCCCACTGCATCCCTTGAGCAGTGGAAATTGAAACAGGGGTTTCTTTCACATGCATTGCAAATGTTGTTAACTGGGCCATGAGTTGGCACCCAGGGGTGGAAGCTGTGCTGTGCCTGGTGTTTGTCACTGACAGCTGCACACTGGCCAGTGGGATAAATGTGTTAGGGCTTTTGAGTCTGATGGGTTTTTGGGGAGAAATCTCTGCTGTCATGGACAAGGATGGAGCAGATCTTTGTTTTGGACAAGGCAGCTCAGTTGGAAAAGGCTGGCCCTCAGTGGAACCTGTTCAGATGCACTTCCTAAACTGATGGTTGAGTGTCCTCGAGGGGCAGAGCCTGAAGATGATGCCTCAGGGTTTAAATTTTATATTATTCAGATTCTGTGCTGCTTTAGTGTGTGGGTCTGGGCTCACATCAGGGGATGCTGAGCTCTGTGCACAGAGCAGGGAGACAAAACAATTCCTGCTCCAGCTGGGCACCAAGGACAAATGATCCAAATCTCAGCCCCAGAGCACAAACCCCGTGGGCTGGAGAGAGAAAAACAAGCAGGGTGGGACTGCAGGGGCTAAAGCTGGGATGGGACAATGAACTGCAAGATGCAAATGGAGCAGAACTGATCCCAGGGACAGAGCCCGTGCCCGGCCGTGCATTTTGGGGCCATTTTGGTTCATCTTGGGTGCAGCCCTGGCTGGGCTCTGGTGCTGCCCAAGGTGGATCCATGGAGGAGATGCTTTGAATAAATCCCTGCTTTATTCTGGGACTCTGCCCAGCCTCTGCTCCAGGGCAGCCTGCACAAGGCATCAAAGATAAAAGCCAGAAAAGGGGAGAGGGAAAAGGAGGGAAATGGAAAGGGCAGCAGGAGTGAGCTTCTCCCTTTGGAGGCTCTCCTGTGTTATCTCCCATGTTCTTCTGGAAATGAGAGGAGGTTCTTGGGCAGATAGAAGGAGCAGGGGCAATTGCAGTGTTTTCAGCTAAAACAGCAAAGATTCCTGCCAGGTGACAGGATGGGTGTCCCTGTTATCCCCCCTCACTTGAGAGAGCAGCTGTTTGTCCTCCTGGGTGCTCCTGCATGCAGGGGCACCACAGGGAAGGTGCCCATCATTTCCACTTCTCCTGAGGCTTGGAGACACCCAGGGAGCAGCTGAGAGAGGGGAGCACTGTCTAAAGCTGACCTGAGCAACACATAAATGTGGAATAAGGGTCTGTAGTACTGTGAGCAGCACCACAGGATCACTGAGGTTGGAAAACCCCTCTGAGACCATCAAATCCAACCATTCCCCAGCACTGCCAAGCCCAGCACTAATCCCTGTCCTGAGTGCCATGTCCATACCTGTTAAATCCCTGCAGGGGTGGTGACTTCACCTCCACGGGGAGATCTTGGTCAGTTCCCCCTCCCAGAGGGGTTTGCACTCGCGTGGCCAATGTGGCATTTCCAGCGTGGCTGGCACAGAGCACAGCTGCTCCCATCTGTCACAAGCTCTGGTTTAAAGCTCACTTTTGGGTTTGACTCATGGGTTTTTGTTCTTTGTTTTCACCCTCAGGCGAGCCAGCAGAGTGTCCACAGCCACTTCCACCCCGCGCTCGCCCCCGTCCTCTCCACCCTGCAGAACTTTGTTGGCACCAAGAGATCCTCAGCAGACACATCCCAGAGAAGCTCAGGTACAAGCTGGGAAGCTGTCAGAACAGCTGATGGGATTTGCTTTGTACCCTGCTGCTTTGAAAGCCAAACTGAGCACTCAAGTCTGCCTTTCCTGCCCAGCGTCCCCAAAGATGCCCCACGGATGTTTTTAGACCCAAACTCTTCCCAGAAGATGACATTATTTTTATGTCTGCTGGAGGAGGAATGGCCCCTCTGTTTTAAGTGCAGAATTCCTGTGCCCTGCCATTCCCCTTGTCAGAGCCTTAGCACAGGCATGGTTCTCACATTAGGAATGGTTTTCTCAGGGAATAAAGCTGCCACCACTTCATTTATATCTTTGCTGCTCTTGAGTGCATAAAGGGGTGTTTTGTAATGAGAGAGTCACAATGCCCAGTTTGCAGTTTGCAGGTTTAGAGAGTGTTAAAAATCCACGACCTGCAGCAGCCTGGGGAGAGTGGCTCCAGGAATTTGGGAATCTTTGCTCACATCTGACCTTGGGCAGGAGGAGAAGACATTTCTTCTGCTGCTCTGCAGACCCTGCAGGAGCCTGGTGGCTTTTGGGCTCCTTCCTGGTGCTGTCTGGGCAGGCCCTGCAGCACTGGGCATTTCCTGAGCCTGCTTTGGGGTCCCAGGGCTGGGCTTCCCAGTGCCACAGAGCTCAGCTGTCCTGCTCCCCCTGCCCAGGCACACCTGCATGGACGTGGGGAGTGCTGGCTTGGGGGGGTAAGAATCATGGAATTTTGGAAGAGATTTACTCTGCCAGCCTTCTAGTTTCATTAAAGCTGATACAGTTAGGGGTGGATGTAGCAGAGCTCAGGACCTGACTACACCATCAGCTTGCTGGGCTGAAAAAGTTGCAGTTTGAATTGAACTCTGAGGTCTCTCTGTGCCTTTTTCCTTTTTCCTTTACTTTCCATTCTCCTCTCCTCTCTTCTCTTCCCCTTTCCCACCTTCCTCCTTCTCTTTTCCCTGTTCCTTCTTTCCTCTTCCCCTTTTCCTTTTCTCCCTTTCTTCTTCCCCTTTTCCTTTCCCTCTCACCTTTATTACCTTCCCCTTTTCCCTCCCCTCATCCTTATTCCCTTCCCCTTTTCCTTTCCCTTTTCTTTCCCTTTTCCCTCCCCTTTTCTTTCCCCTTTTCTTTCCCCTTTTCCTTCCCCTTTCCTTTTCCCTGTCCCTCTCCTTTCCCAGTATTTTGAGTACTTTTCCACACCCTTTTACTGGATACACACCATCCTGACTTCCTGCCTGTCCATTATTTTCCAGCACAGCACAAAGGGGAAGAGGAGATCCCTGGAACTGCTCCATTCCCAGAGCCCTTTGTGCAAGGACGCTGTGATTTAGGAATAATAATCCAATCTTTAATTGAGTGAGGGCACAATAGGGCTGTTCTCCAGGCTGGCAGAGTGCTGCAGTGCCACAGATTGTGCCTGGGCTACAATGGGAGTCACGGTGACAACCGGGAGGGATTACACCACATTCATCCTTCCTCCTCCTCCTCCTCCTCCTCACTGCCTGCCTTGGCACAGGAAGGCTCCATTCCTGCCTGGTGATAACTCTGCCTAGGCAGCAAGGGACCATTGTCACCTGACAGCGTTATCTCTTAATTATATTATCTCTTAATTACAGAAGCTAATTGTTTGTTTCTTTATTAGGAGGCGCCGATATGGGCCCGAGGACTGTGGAGATAACAAGGGTCAGTGAGTTGTTTTCTGCCCATTCACAAAGCCAGCTCCTTCCACTGAAATTGTCCATTTCTGCAGCATTTCTCTGGAGTCAGGCTGCATGATTTGTGTTTGCACTCAGGGGTTGGATGTGTGCCTGTGCTTTGGGTGAGGAGATGTGTGTGTCAAACCCATTTTCTCCTGTTCCACCAATCAGAGCAGTCAGTTACTGCCATGCCCTGCACTCTGCCAGCTGCCCCTGCTGCAGATGGTTGTTTTGCTGTGTTCCAGGGCCCATATGATGCCCTGGGTGTCAGCATAGCAGGAGGGAAGGGCAGTCCCCTGGGAGACATCCCCATCTTCATTGCCATGATCCAGGCCAGCGGAGTGGCTGCTCGCACACAGAGGCTCAGAGTGAGTACAGGGGCCCTGCTATTTCCTAATATTTCCTAAATATTTCCTGTTTCATCTCCCACCTGTCCCTTGAAGCCTCAAGCACTTCTGCATCTGCTGTCATTGATAATCTCTCATAGACTGCTCTGCCTCTATTTATACAAAAGCAAAACAACAAAAAACCAAACCCCCCCCAAAAAAAAAACCAAAAAAAACCCCAAAACAAACAAACAAACAAACAAAACACACAAAAACCACCCCAAAAAGCAAACCTGCCCTTCTCTTCCCCTCTTGGCAATTGCTGCCCATATTGGGAAAGTAATGTAAAGAGAAAGAGCTCAAATGCATTTGTAGTGGTCGTGGGATGTCTGTGCTCATCCAGACCCAGGCAGGGCAGCAAGAGGCCCTCTGGAAACCACAGGTATTTTGGGAACTCCAGGGTGGGCATCATTCAGAGCTCCAGCCAGGTAGAAACCAGATCAGAGATGAGTTGTTTATCTTAAGGCCCCAATAAATAAACAGCAAACAGGGCACTTGTGTCAGACCCACAGCACGTGTGGGTTTCCAGCCATGGCCGTGGTGAACACTTCCAGCTTTGGAGAGAGTCTCAAGGAATCAGGAGGATTGAAAAGAATTTGTTATGCAGATCCACGTGCTTTGGCCCATGAGATTCATTAGGACATGCTGCTACACTCCTGCCTTGTCTCTGATGGAATTAAACAATGGCAGGGTCGACATCATTTTTGTGTGTAGGAAGAAGAAATCATCCAGGTTAATTGGATTAATATCACAAGTTCCTTCTCTCCCCTACAACATTCAGCACGTGCTTACAAGGTTTGGAAGAATATGAACTTGTCTGCACATTCAGACACAAATGAATCCTTTCTGGATGGGAGGACAGCAGAGAAAATCCCCCTCCCTCTCTGCTTGCAAATAGAAAGAGCAAAGTACAACCCATCTTTGTTTTCTCTGATCATATTGTTAGTGTTAAAAAAAGAATGGGAAATGATCACTGGCAGTGCAGAATCCTCACAAAAGGGATCCTGCAAAAGAGAAGCATGACTGTGCAGTGCCAAGTTCACGAGGAATTTTAAGCATTCTTAATTTTAATTTTCCCTAATGCTGGTAATTTTCCATTGCTGTTGTACTTTCAGGTTGGAGATCGGATTGTCAGCATTAATGGGCAACCTTTGGATGGGCTGTCTCATGCAGATGCAGTTAATCTACTAAAGAATGCTTATGGGAGCATTATCCTGCAGGTATGGTGATAAATTGAACATGCAGCTGCAGCAGGGTAGATAAATGACATTCAGGAAAGGAAAAAAAAAAAAAAACCCTGAGCATCCCTGGCATAAGGCATCACAGAATTGCAGGGTGCTTTGCTGGTGGGAATTACACAGAAGGAGAGCAAGAAATCATTTCCATTCAAAAATTCTTTATTGCCATTCACACAGGCTGTGAGCGTGGCTCTATAAAAGCATAACAAAGGGAACAAAATAACTTGTTGCCACATGTGATAAATCAACAAGCTTCCAAGTTGTGGGGTTTGCTTTTTCTTTTAATTGGAAGTTAACTAGGAACAAGAAAATGTGTGTGTGTGCTTGTGATGTAATGAGACACAGACCCACAGGGTGGTTTCCTTGTCCTTGAAAGAAATTCCAGCAGAATTTAGGAAAAATGATGGCATCATCACTGAGACAGAGCTGCCTGGAGCTGATTGTTCATCAGGTAAAGGATAAAAACAGTGAGGAGAGAAAACAGAGCTGTCAGTGCTGTGTTTCTCTGGTAGCTAAAAGGGACATCTTCTGCCACATTGCTTCTGATTGCTGCCTGCCACTGTGTTGATCCATAGTTTATTTTTATGTTTACACAAGGAAATGGGGAAAATACTTGCCAGTTAGAATTCAAAATTCTCCTCGTTTGCAGAATTACTGCAACAATTGGAAAACGAGCTGAAGGCACCACTAAAATCTGCTCTTAACTCCCTTTATCATCACAGCATTTTGGATTGGAACTCATCCTGAGGGACTTTTGCAAGCTTCCTGCTTGTATTATGACACAAATGTGACTATAAAAAACAGGGGTGAGGGGGGGAAGAAAAAAGAGGCAATGAAATGATAATAAACTTAGTTTGAGACTTGCTCATTCTTTGTTTTGTCTGTCCATGAACTGCTGACCCAGTAAGTGATGAGCCAGTTCCAGAGCAGATGGTGTTTTGTGTAGTTCCATTGAAGTCAGAGGAAACACACAGATTCACACCAGCTGAGGATTCTCTGTTAAATTATAGTTATCATATTGTTACTAACGTTGAGCAATTTCACTTTTCATGTCAACAGTGTTCCCTGAATAGAAAATGAAAGCTTGCTGCAGAACCCGAAATTGCTCATCTTGAAAGCTGTAATACAGCTCAATATTGCACCTCATGATGGATTTAAAAATATTCCTGATGGGGCACTCTGGCACTGGGTGGCTCACACAAACAAAGAGCTGCTTCTAGAAAAGCCACTGGGTCAAAGAGCTGCTTCTGGAAGTGCCTTTGGGTCTGTCAGTTTGGCTGTTTTTCTTCTTCTGAGCATTCTGCCTCATTAAAATGAGCTGGATGCTGTTCTCAGATGCTAGAGGTTTATTGGGATAGAATAGAGGCTGTTTGCCTCTATCTAAAATCCCCTCTAGGAAGGTGGGGTGTTGTATTTTAACACCTGGAGTGGTGTCAAAGCCTGGTGCTGGTTCCCTTCCCCAGCAAGCACAGCAACCTCTCCACCACCAAACTGCTCTTTTTTCAACCAAAACCTTCCAAAAGGAGCAGCCCTATCACTGTGCTCATCATGAGTGGGGTGCCATTAAGAAATCCTGTTTATTATCAGGGTGGAGCACTGCTCTGAGGGGTCAGATAATTGTGTTCAGTGGGGTGGAAAGGCTCATTGTGGGAACGTCCTGGGGAGGAAGGAGTTTGCAAATGCTGTTTGCAAATGGCAGATTAAGGTCTCAGGGGAACAATCATCCCTCTCAGCTGTTTTGATGCCTTGGTTTAATTTAATTTCTTTTCTGCAGGTGTAGTAATGAGATAAGGGGGAGCTTTTTCACAAGGTTGTTGAACTCTGATGTGTTCTTGCTGCCAGCTGAAGATTTTTGAATATAGATTTGGTTTTACCCTCATTTTTTTTATCGAGCAACAACAACAACAAAACCCCTGACAAATCCTGGCTGGAATTCCTTACTCTGATGCCACAGGAAGGGAGCCTTGGTGGGGTCTGTGCTGGCTGAGCCAGGTGCTGTTCCCATCTGCTGGACCTTTGGGGCATCCTGGAACCCCAGTCCTGGGATGCAGAATTTGCATGGAAACCTCTCCTGGCTCCGTCACCCTCTTGGCTCCAGAGGGTTGGGAAAGAGGGAAAAACTGCTATGGGAGAATTGTGAGCACTCATTTAAAACAGATTTATAGAACAAATTTCTTACTTTGAAAAGGGAAGTTTTCCTTAAAGCCAAGTTCACAGCAATGAGTGGAAGAAGTGCCTGCTCACTTTGATAAAATAGGGCCATAGCTGGAGGAAATATTGGAATTGTGCTTCCTGGCTGTTCTTCACTGTGTCTGAGCTGAACTCCTGTGCTGCAGTAAATGTCAGGCAGAGAAGAATATCCCTTCAGAGGGAGATGGAGTTAGGGGATAACCACAGCGTGGACTTGTTGGGAAATTTATACCCTTTCAGCTGTAAATACTTCAAATCCAAACCACTTTGTGGTGGTTTCTTTGAAAATTTTCCAGAAAAAAAAGAAAAAAGGAAATAAAAAATCAGCATCAGTGAATTAAAAATAAAGTTAATGCCAGGGCCCTCACTACTCTCACAGAAGGAATTCCTTCCCAATGTCCCATCCATCCCTGCCCTCTGGCACTGGGAGCCATTCCCTGTGTCCTGTCCCTCCATCCCTTGTTCCCAGTCCCTCTGCAGCTCTCCTGGAGCACCTTTAGGCTCTGGAAGGGGCTCTCAGCTCTCCTTGGAACCTTCTCTTCTCCAGGTGAAGCCTCCCAGCTCTCCCAGCCTAGAGAAAAACCTTTCCATAGAAACCTTTCCATAGAAACCTTTCCATAGAAAGGTGCTCCAGCCCTCAGAGCAGCATTCAGGATCTTGTCTGAATAATAGAGGACCCAGAATTGGGAAGTTGAATTATCCAGCTTGTTTTCAGGCTGAAAATTCAGAGAAGTCAAAACCAAGGATTAATTTGTTCCCTTCTCATCACTCAAACCAGTCTGAGGCATTTCAGGGTGTTGCCCAATGGTCAACCTTGGGTCTTGGTGTTCCCTTAAAGGCTGTGGTGGTTTCTTCCAAAGGTTGTGTTGGCTCTCTTTCCTTGGAAAAGCAGCCTTTTTCTCTGGATTACCCAGAAAGACTCTTCCCCTTTGCTCAGAGCCTGAGTGATGATCCTGTGAGGGCAAGAGAAGCTTCAGAGCAAAATTTGCATTGAACCCCCAGAAAAGTGGCTGCTCTTACCTGAAAGTGTGGAGCCAGTGGAGATTTAAGAGAGTAGAACTTGGTTTTAAAGCTTGTTTGGGGAAAAAAGCCAGCAGCTGATTTTCCAACCTGTGTTTCCTTGCATCCCTGTTGCCCAGGTGGTGGCTGACACCAACATCAGTGCCATTGCCAGCCAGCTGGAGAGCATGTCCACGGGCTGCAGCCTCAGCCTGCCCTCTGAGCATCCCTCCGAGGATCCTGAGTGAGTTCCTGCTCTCCTGCAGAGCTGGGGGGGATTCCTGGGCTGGGGGAAGGCTGCAAGGAGGTCTCTCCCACTGCTTCCCTCTAATTTTCCATCACCTTTAAGATGAAAGCTCTGTGACCTTCCCCAGGCTGATGGTGGGCTCCTGTCTGTCTTCGCCTGCTGACAGAAATTGCTTGAGTAAATAAGCACAAAATGTGTTTGCAAGCACTATTTCTGGGTGTTTCTCAAGACAAAAGTATCCCTTTTCTTCCTTAATGCTGTGCTGACGTGGTATTTCTGCCGTTGTCTGGAAGGAGATCTGATCATAGCAATTTGAAATAATTGGGTATCGGCAGATTGATGCCAGAGGTGTTAAAGACACCTTACAAGACATGTCCCAGGACTTTGTCTTTTCAATTTTTATAGCTTTATGAGTCAAAAAGTGCAGTTAAAATAATTCCTGCTTGCAGCACTTGTGTGTGGTGATGGAAGCTGGAGGTCCAGCCCTGCCATGCATCGTTCTCCATCGTGTGCTTTTCTCACTGTAGCATCCCAGTTACCATTTTGAAATTCACTTATTCTCCATTTCAGCTCATCATTTTCATTATGCTCTCCATTTTCATTCTGTGGTTCACTCTATTTATTTTGCTGCCCTACCTCAGGAGGGTTGAGTGTAAAAGTTGAGCTCTTTGTGCTGCATTCTGTGGTCTTACAGTGTGAGATACTGGTTTTATTGCTGCTCCCAAAGGAGAATTGCTTGCTTTGCAAAAGGATTTGAATTCTTTCTTCATATCAAAGCAGCAGGGAAATTTGGAGGTGAAAATATGAAGCAGAATTAGGGATTTATATCCTAAAAAATGCATAGATATTACTCGGCTTGGGCTGCACCTTTAGAGAGGTGGAAGATGCCAAATGGATTCAATGGAATAATGGAATTGAGGGCCACATCCACAGAGGGCTGGGGACTCCACCACTGCACTGGGCAGCTGTGCCACCACCTTCTGTCCACAGCAGCTCTTTCTACACACCCAATTATTTTAAAAATAAATAAAATTTATTTAAATAATTAAATAAAATACATAAAATAAAATTTAATTTTTAATAAATTCCTTCAAAGTACATTTTAAATAATTATTTTAGAATAATTGTAAATTACACATCGTTTCAAATATGAGATAGATAAATTCATATGAGTGGTCTAAATTCCACCAAAAAAAGTCCTCCTTTGCTCAGTGTAGGCAGAGAAAACCCCTGAAGAGTTCAGGCTCCAGCTAATGAGCTCTGGAGTTATGAGCACAGGCATGTGGGTATAATACAGTACTTACAAATATTTTTTTCTAAGTGAGGAGCTGGAGCACACGGAGCAGCCTTTGAACTCTGGGCTTTGCAGGAATGTTCCAGTGCAAGGGTCATGGATTGTGACTGTGTGAGAAAAACCTCATGGGAGATAAATGTCTGTGGTGTAAGTGTTCCTGAGACAGACACTGCTTATCTGAGTGATATTTATTGTGTTTTCAGAGCACCTCAGCCTAAGATTATTACTTTGGAGAAAGGCTCTGATGGACTGGGATTTAGTATTGTAGGGGGGTATGGAAGTCCCCATGGAGACCTGCCCATTTATGTCAAGACTATTTTTGCCAAGGTATCTTTTATTTTTTTGCTTTCTCGCCTTTTTTCCTGTATTATCTTTAAAAATAAACCTAAGATTGGGCTTGGTTAATATATTATGTAGCAAAAAAACCAAAATGTACTGTCTGAGTAGGCTGCTGTGAGTTAGTGGACCCAGAACTCATAGCTGGCTTCTCAGTTTATATTTCATATTTCTGATGGCTGAAACAAGACACTTTGTCTCAGCAAAATTGCTCTGTGTACTTGGGAAACTTGGCTTTGTACATTAAAATATTTATAAGGCAGTTTTCTATCTGTAAATCTCCCAAGAGATTTCCAGGAGGTATTGAAGGCATCTTTTTTCCCCACTGTGCAGGAGTGAGGAAATTGCAGAGATGCTGTGTCCTGATGAAAGAACAGGAATTAGCCCATCTCTGATCCCAGCCCTGAGTATCTGGGGGGATTGGGGTCCCTGCCAGGTACAGAGAGCTCCAGCCTCTGAGGCTGGGGAAGAATCATAATGCAGCATTTTACAGGAGGGAGATATGCCCCTGTTCCCACCCATCCCCTGCTAAAAATGAGCCAGCAAGACTTGTCAGGCATGGCCACACGAGGGGAGTTGTGGAAATGGAAGGGGAGGGAAGAAAAGCAGTGGGAATTAGGGATTCTTGCCATGAAATAACAGTGAAATCTGTCACATGCAGCTGCTTGCTCTGTGCCTACCTGGTGTCACTTGTGCCAGGGTAGGTGATGGTAAAGTAGGAGCCATCTCCTGCTCCTGCTGTTCTGGGGCTCAAACCCAAACAAACATCTGGTATTTTTACAATTTGAAATTATTTAAATATTTAGCCTTTCAAGTGGTGCTTAGGGCTGCAAGTTTCTAGATGTGAGCATGACTGAGAAATCCTAAAATGAACCTGAAGTTCCTGCAGGTGGGGCAGAAAGAGACACTGTGAGCCAGCCTCTGGGCAGGCAGGGCTTGGGATTTAGGCAAAAGAACTTCCCTGAGACATCTGGAGGAGAAGGAGCCATTTCTAAAGCTCTGTGGAAGCTTTCAGGACTGCCACAGAACTTTTTAGGTTGGAAAAACCCTCTGAGATCACCGAGTCCAGCCATGCCCCCAGCCAATGTCAATGCCAACCAATGTCAACCATTGCCAGCCAGTGTCCCCAGGTGCCACATCCACATGGCTTTTAAATCCCTCCAAGGATGGGGGCTCCCCTGGGCAGTCTGCTCCAATGCTTGGCACCTTTTGGTGACCAAAATTATCCTGATGTTCAACCTGAACAGCCCGAGGCCATTTCTTCATCTCTGCTGGGGCTGGGGGCAGTGCCCAGCTTGGTTCCTTTTCCCTCCCCACTTTTTTAGCTCTTTCTCAGCCATGAGGCATGGAGTACATTTAAATGCTGATTTAACAAGCGTCTCCATGACCATAAAATCCAGAACCAGTCTCTCCCCAAGTCTTTTTCCAGGGAAGAGCCATTTCCTGGGCACATACCCTGGCAGGGTGGGCAGTGATGGGCAGCAGTGCTCGGGGGAACTCAGCGCTGTCATTTCTCCTGGCCCTGAGGGGTTCCCAGAGCTCCATCCCCCATTTCTCCAGGCCCTGAGAGGTTCCCAGAGCTCCATCCCCCATTTCTCCAGGTCCTGAGGGGTTCCCAGAGCTCCATCCCCCATTTCTCCAGGCCCTGAGAGGTTCCCAGAGCTCCATCCCCCATTTCTCCAGGTCCTGAGGCATTCCCAGAGCTGCATCCCCCATTTCTCCAGGTCCTGAGGGGTTCCCAGAGCTGCATCCCCCATTTCTCCTGGCCATGAGGGGTTCCCAGAGCTCCATCCCCCATTTCTCCAGGTCCTGAGGCATTCCCAGAGCTGCATCCCCCATTTCTCCTGGCCATGAGGGGTCCCCAGGGCTGCATCCCCCATTTCTCCTGGCCCTGAGGGGTTCCCAGAGCTCCATCCCCCATTTCTCCTGGCCTTGAGATGTTCCCAGAGCTCCATCCCCCATTTCTCCAGGCCCTGAGGGGTTCCCAGAGCTGCATCCCCCATTTCTCCTGGCCCTGAGCTATTCCCAGAGCTGCATCCCCCATTTCTCCAGGTCCTGAGGTGTTCCCAGAGCTGCATTCCCCATTTCTCCTGGCCCTGAGGGGTCCCCAGAGCTCCATCCCCCATTTCTCCTGGCCATGAGGGCTTCCCAGAGCTCCATCCCCCATTTCTCCTGGCCCTGAGGGGTCCCCAGAGCTGCATCCCCCATTTCTCCTGGCCCTGAGGTGTCCCCAGAGCTGCATCCCCCATTTCTCCAGGTCCTGAGGGGTTCCCAGAGCTCCATCCCCCATTTCTCCTGGCCCTGAGCAGTTCCCAGAGCTCCATCCCCCATTTCTCCAGGCCCTGAGGCATTCCCAGAGCTCCATCCCCCATTTCTCCAGGTCCTGAGGGGTTCCCAGAGCTCCATCCCCCATTTCTCCTGGCCCTGAGGGGTCCCCAGAGCTCCATCCCCCATTTCTCCAGGCCCTGAGGGGTCCCCAGAGCTCCATCCCCCATTTCTCCAGGTCCTGAGGGGTTCCCAGAGCTCCATCCCCCATTTCTCCAGGCCCTGAGGGGTTCCCAGAGCTGCATCCCCCATTTCTCCAGGTCCTGAGGGGTTCCCAGAGCTGCATCCCCCATTTCTCCAGGCAGCATTCCAGGCTGCAGGGTCAGGGGGTGCCCCCCTGATCCCCGTGTTGCCGTTGCAGGGCGCGGCGGCCGACGACGGGCGGCTGAAGCGCGGGGACCAGATCGTGGCCGTCAACGGGGAGGCCCTGGAAGGCGTCACCCACGACCAGGCCGTGGCCATCCTGAAGCGCCAGAAGGGGACAGTGACCCTGACAGTGCTGTCCTGAGACACACTGAGCTCTCCAGGCCATCAGTAGAGCTGTCAAACACTGCCCAGCCCCTGCAGAGCCTGGATCCGCGTTCCAGGCGCGTCTCCAGCTTCATTCAGCCTCCCACGACTTTCCAGCCTTTCTCCCCGCCCTCCTCGACTTCTGGTGGCTTCAGAGGTTTCCCTGGACAAGTTTTAATTAAGGAACTTCAAAGGACAGGACTCGTTGTGCTTTGTCCCCGCTGCTCTGAACCCCGGTTGCGACTGCTGAACCTGGAATCAATTCGCACACAAAGGAGAATTTCAGATCATCGACTGATCTCATCTGAGGGACAGAAATAAATGCTGAGTGACTTGTCATCTCACTCGTGATTTACTTATGCTAATTGTTCTTTCAAGTATGCCAGAAAACATTAGCAATGTAATTAAATTACCACTGTTCCAAATGATGAAATATCAAATTCTCCTCTGGGAAATTATTTGTGCTCGGCACAGTAAGTCTGATAGTCAAATGTGAACTTCTCATGTTTATCTCTTTGGGTAGGTCTGTGGAAGTTAGTCAGAGGTAATTACTGTGATGTGTCAATTTGCAGCCTTTAGCATGAAAAATAAACGAGGGGAGAGGGAAATTTATTTTTTTAGGCTTTTAAAATGTTTGAGCCTTTTCAGATATTTAGGCAGCATGAACAACAACAGCGTAGCTCATTCTATTCTAATTCTATTTTTTAAGAAGAAATGTGCTGATATATGCCAGGCATGTCGCATACAAAGGCAGTTGTTGTCGTGCCAAGCTGCAGCATAATAATTGTTCATCCTGAAACTTTAATGAAGACAAAAAGTTTGCTTTGGGAATGTGATCCTGTAATTCTAGGAGTGATGGTGAGCAGTCCCTCCAGCTCAGTGGAGTTCATCCTAACCACCAAACTGATGCACATTTCCAAGAGTCTCCCCAGGATCAGGTAGTGCAGGAGGAGGCTTTCCTGGATCCCAGAGAATGCTCCTCTCTTTGGGCTGCCAGAGCCAATTTTGGGTACCACCAGGCACTCCCAGGCAGGGCTGGGATGATCTCCCTCAGCCAGGTGCAGCAGTTTGGGATGAGGCTCCTCAACCCCCTCCAGCTCAGCTGAATCCCCTGACAGTTTTTTGGGGTCTGAAGCCTTCCCAAGGCTGGTCCCACTCTGGAGGTGGGGTGCAGGAACATTCAGCCACAAGATCCCAACCTCATTCCATTCCCAGCCATCAAACAGGGATGATGTGAGTGTGGCCTTGGTGATTTAACAGATGAATTTGGCAGGCAGGTTCCTGGCAGGGCAAGGCATTGGGGGTTCATCTTCTATCCAGGGGAGCAGGAGGGGTTTGGAGGAAGCAGCCCAGTCTGATTTGGAACTATTTGGCATAATTTATAATGGTGATGTAGCTGGGAGAAATGAAAGGGGGGTGGGGTCAGAATTGGCTGCTCATTTTGTGTGAAAAATTCCAGGAACTGAATGGAAAGAAGGTTGAAAATCTGCAGTATAATAGCTGAGCAGTGCAGGGAGGTGTTAAAGGTACAGCTGTTCTGTGTAATTGAGTGGAATTTTCCCCATTTTACATTCAGGAACCAGTCCTGAAGCGAGGTGAACTACATTGAGACAGGAATGCTGTGATAAGTTCTCATGGAAAAGGGTTTTCCTTATTTCCTTGGAAAGTTTTCCATAACTCTAGGTAATCACAAAGTGCATTTAGCCTGCTGGAACCATTGGTGGGTATTCCCTTAATAGTGCCTGGAAGAGACTTCTCATTTTCAGTGGATTCCCAGTGTCCTGTTTGATTTGCCAAGTGAGGTGTGAGTGGAATCCTGATTGCAGAGCACAGGGATGTCTCCAGGTGTAGAAAACTGGAGAATTCTGAACAGGCTGCTCTGGTTGCACAGGAGTTTAGGGTGAGGTGTGAGGAGGTGCCCTCAGCAGCAGTGTGTGGGATTTATCAACCAAAGGGAATGATTCTTCTGTCCTGTGTTTTTGTACCCACCCTGAGACGTTGCCACATTTAATCCATGAAGTTGTACATGGCTGTTTATCAGCCTGTGATGCACATGCAGTTCATAGACATAAACAATAGAATTTATGGGCTGATGAGACATTTTGCACTTCTCGTTGCTCAGAAGGAGAGAGAACATTTTCTGCTTCTTGTAATTTGCACTTTGTGTGTTCGAATATATTACTGCCAAAAAAAAAAAAAATTATATTGCAACTAATTGATAAACCAGTGACCATGCTCCACGTGCAGGGCCAAGGCAGAGAATTCAGTTTGCACCACGCTTGTCTGGGTGGGGGTGTTCTGGTTTGTTTGAAACTTCATTTCTGTGCAAGGGAAAAAGCAATTAAACCTCCTGATTGTATTGTTTACGTAGCTCAGTAAAAGGAGACGTTTTATGACTTCAAGGGTTCTAAATAAAGCTCAGTTGCATAAGTAGTTGTGCATTCGTTTTATTCTGTATTTTAATTTAAGTCAATGTTAAAAGCTGTTGCATGTCCTGATATCCAGTTTAAACCTGCTCTGGCAAAACTTTTCCTCTGCTTCCTCTTGTCCTAAGAGTTCTCCTGCCTTGGTTTCAGGGCTCAGGGGGCAGAGCCTTACTTTAGAAGGGCCAAGGGCTGTTCACAGTCCTTCCATCAGCTTCCTCACCTGGAGAGACCTGGAATTTCCTGCTCTGGGCAGTGACAGCACCAGGAGCCATCTCAGGGCTCTTGGCATTTCTTGGCCATGTGATGAGCAGGTTATGATGTGATGGTGGTGGCTGGGCTGGTGGGGCCAGCAGGAGAGGTGAGGGACTCCACCTTATTATCCTGCAATGAGGAATCACTGTAATGCCCCTGAATTCCCTGTAATTAATCCCATGGCAATTACCACCCTGGGAGTGTGACATCCACAGGGCCTGTGGAGGTAAAGTGATTGTGCCAGGGTGGAGCAGTTAATGTCCCTCTGCCTGAAAGCACTGGAGAGAGTTAATTTGATGTCACACATGTATAAAACATCAGTTTTATATTTATATCATAATATAATATTTAATATATAGAGATATTTATATAAAATATTTATATTTATATATAACATCAGTTGTGCTCAGCATGGATGCATAATTCCATTATTGTCTTTCCCCACAGGGTCACATGTCTGGATATCTGGTTTGATGTCCTGGTTAAACAGTGCCATGGTCATTGTTACCCCTCTTAGTGGGGTTTGTTCCCCAGAATGCCCCTTCCTGTGATAGCTGCACCTTCTAGGATGGCAGCAAATCAGAGAGATCCGTGTTCTGCAGCATCCCCAATGGAAAAGGAACAAGGGTCACCCTGACCTTGTTTTTAGCCTTTTCCAGGTGGGCTCTGAGGGCTCTGCTGCCTTCCCAAGTCTGGTGGGGGTGAAGCAGAGTTTACTCCCAATTCCTGCACAAAAAGGGGGAAAATGCAGTTGTAGCATAAACTCTTTATTCCCTCTTTATTTAGGATCACAGAATCCCAGAATGGTTTGGGTTGGGACTGACCTTAAAGCTCATCCCATTCCACCCCCTGCCCCAGACAGGGACTTCCACCAGCCCAGGTTGCTCCAAGCCTGATCCAACCTAAGGGATTCCTGAGCAGTTTAAGAGCTCATGAGGAATGTTATGTTTTCCAGGGCAGATATTTCCATATAAAGGTTTACAGTCCCATTCTAGAAGAAGATAATCAGGGTGAAGATTCCTGGCTCTGCAGGGTAAGCACAGGGGCAGGGCTGGCTGCTGGCACATCCCCATGGACCCACTCCAGAGCCCGGGCAGGGAGAGCTGCCCAGCCCCAGCACGGCTCTGAGCGTTGTGCTCTGGATGCTTTTTCTGCTGAAATGGCACTAGATGGAGCAGTTGACAAAATATTGCATTTCTGCAGCCTTCTTGCAGGGCTGGAGGCCCAGCCAGAGGAGCTGCCCCCAGGGATGCTCTGAGCATCTTCTCAGCCCAGCCCAGGAATGACAAACTGCCAGACTGAGCTGTGAACAGGGAGAGCTGCAAAGAGGACACACCTGGGGCTACAGTGACAGGAGCTTTCTAGGAAAGGGAATCGTGGCCTGTCCCACTCCTGCTGAGAGCTGCCCTCCATCCTGGCAAAAACAGGGCAAGTGGTCCCTTCCACACCGAGCTGTGGGGACAGGACAGGGGCCAGCTTGGCCCCACTGACCCCAGAGCAGTCAGCAAACTGCCCTGCAGAAAGAAACCTGCCTTTGCTGCTGAGAGCATTACATTATTATATAATAGTTATAATTATTGTAACAGTTGTATAATATACAATTATTATTACTATATTATTATTATTATTATTATTATTATTATTGTTATTGTTATTGTTATTATTATTATTGTATTATATAGTATGATCTGATAATATTTACAATAACATAATAGTATAATATATAATTATACTATTATAATAGTATAAATTATAAGTATATACTTATAAGTATATTTAAGTAATATATATACTTATATAAGTATATATAAGTATATAAGTATAATATATAATTGTACTATTATAAATTATAATTATAATATTATTTATATATCTAATATATATTATAATAGTTTATATATATCTAATATAAATATTAGATATAAAAAAACTATTATAATATATAACTATTATAATAGTTATATATTATATTATAATATAATATAACTATTATAATAGTTATATTATATTATAATAGTTATATATATTATATATATAATATAACTATTATATATATAATAGTTATATATATCTAATAGTTATATATATATTATTATATATATATATATAAATTATACATGGTTATATATTATATATAAAACTATATATAATAACTATTATATATATATATAAACTATTATAATGGTATATATAATAGTTTTGGTTCTCCTAAGAACATTAAATTCTGCTGAGAGCTGCTGCACTGGCCCTGTCCAAGCTGCTGGTGGGGCAGGTTCTGGCTGATAATCATCTCAAGAGGAGATGTTTCTCTTTGGATGGATCCTGGAATGGTTTGGGCTGGAAGGGACCTCAAAAGATCTTCCAGTTCCATCACTTCCCACTGTCCCAGGCTGCTCCAGCCTGGCCTGGGGCACTGCCAGGGATCCAGGGGCAGCCACAGCTGCTCTGGGCACCTGTGCCAGGGCCTGCCCACCCTCACAGAGAATTTATCCCTGATAATCTCTGATCCATCCCTGCCCTCTGGCAGTGGCAGCCATTCCCTGTGTCCTGTGTCCCCAGTCCCTCTCCAGCTCTCCTGGAGCCCCTTTAGGCCCTGGAAGGAGCTCTGAGCTCTCTCTGAAGCCTTCACTTCTCCATGCCCAGCTCTCTCACCCTGTCAAGGCTGAGCAAAGTGGTTCTGCCTGAGCACTGAGGTGCTGCAGCTGAGACCCTCAGAGTCCCCTCTCCTCTCCTTGCAGGAAAAGAAAGGGACACGCTGGAAATGCCCATAAGGAGAGTGGAAAAATTGTGTTCAGCCAAGCTCCTCATCATTCTTTCCCCTCACAGCTGATGGGCTGCTGGATGCTGAGCCTGTAAAGATCATTAGATTAATTCCTTTTCTTGCTGTGACTTCATTGTCTCCATTGGTCTGCGCAGTGCTCGCACTGGGGGTGTGTTTCTCCTTGCCTATATTTAGTTTGATCTCTACAGTGATACTGGAATATATAAATTGAGGCTGGCTCTGGCTCTTTGTGGCACTGAGATCCCACAGATGATTTTTTTTGTGCAGTCTGGTACTTTGACAGCAGGGATTTTGGGCACTGGGAGATGCCAGGGGCAGCATCAACCCATCCATGATCCCTCAGGGTCCACATGAGCAGAGGAGCTGCTCCTCCCTGGGGAGGTGGTGGGAAGGGCAAAGAGGAATGATGAGGCACAGAAATGAAAATCAGCATCCTGGGGATGCATTAACCTGGGCTGCAGGGATGGGAACGGGAGGGAAAGGGGCAGGGGAAGGCAGCAAACTCTGGGATGCCTCCCTGCAGAGCTGCAGCACACCCCAAACTTCCCTGTCCCCAAATCAAGGGGAGGCAGGCACTTCCCAAAGCCACCCTGATGGTTAGCAGAAAATCTCCCACATTTATTCTGCTGAAACAGGAACTTTTACCTTCCTCAGGGAAGCAGCAGGAAAATTCCTCTCTGCAAGTGTAGATCCAGAGCTGTCAGGGAAAAAATCTCAGTAAAAACTGTCAAAAAATTGTGTTATGGCTCTTTTTGTTTGCAGCTGGGCCTGGCAGAGATGCCTGTGCTGGCTTTTTTACACAAATTGAGGGAACTCCTGCAAAAAATATCCCACCTTGGCATATCTGTGCAGGGACCCCTCTGGGGATGTGGGGGGTGTCACTGATCTGAAGAAAAACCTCAAAAATGGGTGGTTTGGTGCTGTGCAGGTGTGGGAAGTCACCCCAGAAAAGCCACAGCCATGGGGACAGGAACACACACAGGGAAAGGTTTAATTCATTTTATTTGTACATAAAGGAGGCATTTTGGGTTATAGATTAAAAAGAAAATAAGGCAGATAGAAGTTTGAGATAGTGAATGCCTGGACTAAAAATGTGAAGAAAAGATTGAGCAGATGGCAGATTTCCATGGCAAACAGAGGTCAGGGCTGTTCTCCCCTCCCTGCAAGGATGGGGGCACAAGGCAGCTCAAGAGACATTTTGTCAGGATGTGAACTGACTGAACAACAACCAGAGTGGGCCAGAATTTCCTTCTGCTTACAAAAATTAAAAAGTCATTAGCTAATCAAGGAAATGTGGGTGTGCTCCACCAAAGCCAAGGGAGGGCACCCACTGGGTCCTGATGCAGCAGAACAAGAAAAGTGGGGCCTGAGCCCTGCCTCCCTCTCTGTCAGCAAAGGGATTTAAGAAAAAACCCAGCTTTGGGGTGATGCTGGACCCTGTGGGTGCTCCATGGTGGGGGAGACCCAGTCCCAGCACCCAAATCACGGCTTGGCTTTGCAGGAGGAGTTTGGGAATATGAAAACTGAGCAGAGGCAAAGCAAGGAGCAAACACTGCTCCAAAAGGCATCTGCCAGCAAAGGCACTGCACAGAGCTCTTGGACAACACCACCACACCCTGGGCTGGGAATCTGATGGGAGTGCAGGGCTTGCAATGCCCTGCCCCACCCCACCATGATGCAGAGCCTGTCAATGGGCTGCACTTCCCCGTTAGCTCAAACTTAATTAGGGAAAAATAACAGCCATATGGTAATTCCAAACCCAGGCACAACAATGTCTGCCTGTTTGGGTCTGGCATGCTCAAATATTTTCCTAGAGCATTAATTTTTAATTCTTGCATCAAACCCGCATAAGCAAACATAAATAGGATTTTATGCTTTCCATAATCCATCCAGCTTGTGTTTGTTGTTACATACACTGAGCAATCGCTGCCTGCCACTACTTACAGAAGAGCTGATAATAAATATTAGGACAC